GGGCTGGCCTCATAATAAACAGCAATGAAGACACAATTCAACAGGAGGATAATCATATCTATGGACAGACAAATCAGCATCAAAAGTCTATGGGTAATCAGCATCAGTGAAATCAATGTAAAATTGTAAGAGCACGCATCTTCCCTCTAGCAGCATACGAATGGGATTCATAGACTATCTCCCAATCCTTGAGGAACGAACGAACGAACGAACGAACTTTTTTTTCAAAGGTTTAAAAATTAGGCACGCAGGCCTGTCTTACATTCGGCACTTCCAAACTTCCATCTTTCACACAGCAGTTGTATTTCATCAATAAAGCATGTTATATTTGTGTAATAATATGCATATTATATATAAAAAGTCAAAAACAAAAGAATGGGTGGTAAAATATGTGCGCACGCTCACGCGCGAACACACACACCCACATACACACGCAAGCCCAATCACTCACTTACACACAAACACATAGGCACCCAATACACACATACATCTACATACATACGAACATGCACACATACAAACATACATTACATTACATACATTACATGCATACATACATTACATACATACATTACATACATACATTACATACATACATACATTACATACATAGATTACATACATACATTACATACATACATTGCATACATACGTTACATACATACATTACATGCATACATTACATACATACATTACATGCATACATTACATGCATACATTACATGCATACATTACATGCATACATTACATGCATACATTACATGCATACATTACATGCATACATTACATACATACATTACATACATACATTACATACATACATTGCATACATACATACATACATTACATACATACATTACATACATACATACATACATTACTTACATACATACATTACATACATACATACATTACATACATTACATACATACATTACATACATACATACATACATACATACATTACATACATACATACATTACATACATACATACATACATTACATACATACATACATTACATACATACATACATACATACATACATACATACATACATACATACATACATACATACATACATACATACATACATACATACATACATACATACATACATACATACATACATACATACATACATACATACATACATACATACATACATACATACATACATACATACATACATACATACATTACATACATACATACATACAGTACATACATACATACATTCATTACATACATACATACATACATACATACATACATACATACATACATACATACATACATACATACATACATACATACATACATACATACATACATACATACATACATACATACATACATACATACATACATACATTACATACATACATTACATACATACATATATTACATACATACATACATTACATACATACATTACATACATACATACATTACATACATACACACATTACATACATACATACATACATTACATACATACATACATTACATACATACATACATTACATACATACATGCATACATTACATACATGCATACATTACATACATACATACATTACATACATATATACATTACATACATATATACATAACATACATACATACATTACATACATACATACATACATTACATACATACATACATTACATACATACATACATTACATACATACATACATACATACATACATACATACATACATACATACATTACATACATACATACATTACATACATACATACATTACTACATTACATACATACATACATTAAATACATACATACATTACATACATACATACATACATTACATACATACATACATACATTACATATATACATACATTACATACATACATACATTACATACATACATTACATACATACATACATACATTACATTACATACATACATACATTACATACATACATACATTACATACATACATACATACATACATACATACATACATACATACATACATACATACATACATACATACATACATACATACATACATACATACATACATACATTACATACATACATACATTACATACATACATGCATACATACATACATACATACATTACATACATACATACATTACATACATACATACATTACATACATACATACATACATACATACATACATACATACATACATACATACATACATACATACATACATACATACATACATACATACATACATACATACATACATACATACATACATACATACATACATACATACATACATACATACATACATACATACATACATACATACATACATACATACATACATACATACATACATACATACATACATACATACATACATACATACATACATACATACATACATACATACATACATACATACATACATACATACATACATACATACATACATACATACATACATACATACATACATTACATACATACATACATTACATACAAACATACATACATTACATACAAACATACATACATTACATACATACATACATACATACATACATACATACATACATACATACATACATACATACATACATACATACATACATACATACATACATACATACATACATTACATACATACATACATTACATACATACATACATACATTACATACCTACATACATTACATACATTACATACCTACATACATTACATACATACATACATACATTACATACATACATACATTACATACATACATTCATACAATACATACATACATTCATACATTACATACATACATTCATACATTACAAACATACATACATTACATACATACATGCATTACATACATACATACATACATACATTCATACATACATACATACATACATACATACATACATACATACATACATACATACATACATACATACATACATTACATACATACATACATTACATACATACATACATTACATACATACATACATTACATACATACATACATTACATACATAAATTACATACATACATTACATACATACATTACATACATACATTACATACATACATTACATACATACATTACATACATACATTACATACATACATTACATACATACATTACATACATACATTACATACATACACACATTACATACACACATTACATACACACATTACATACACACATTACATACACACATTACATACACACATTACATACACACATTACATACACACATTACATACACACATTACATACACACATTACATACATACATACATACATACATACATACATACATACATACATACATACATACATACATACATACATACATACATACATACATACATACATACATACATACATACATACATACATACATGCATACATACATGCATACATACATACATACATCCATACATACATCCATACGTACATGCATACGTACATACATACATACATACATACATACATACATACATACATACATACATACATACATACATACATACATACATACATACATACATACATACATACATACATACATACATACATACATACATACATACATACATACATACATACATACATACATACATACATACATACATACATACATACATACATACATACATACATACATACATACATACATACATACATACATACATACATACATACATACATACATACATACATACATACATACATACATACATACATACATACATACATACATACATACATACATACATACATACATACATACATACATACATACATACATACATACATACATACATACATACATACATACATACATACATACATACATACATACATACATACATACATACATACATACATACATACATACATACATACATACATACATTACATACATACATACATACATACATACATACCTGCATACCTGCATACCTGCATACCTACCGACCTACCGACAGACAGACAGACAGACAGACAGACAGGCAGGCAGACAGACAGGCAGGCAGGCAGACAGACAGACAGACAGACAGACATATATACATACATTACATACATACATACATTACATACATACAGACATTACATACATACATTACATACATACATACATACATACATACATACATACATACATACATACATACATACATACATACATACATACATACATACATACATACATACATACATACATACATACATACATACATACATACATACATACATACATACATACATACATACATACATACATACATACATACATACATACATACATACATACATACATACATTACATACATTACATACATTACATACATTACATACATACATACATTACATACATACATACATTACATACATACATACATTACACACATACATACATTACATACATACATACATACATTACATACATTACATACATACATACATTACATACATTACATACATACATACATTGCATACATACATACATTACATACATACATACATTACATACATACATACATTAAATACATACATACATTACATACATACATACATTACATACATACATACATTACATACATACATACATACATACATACATACATACATACATACATACATTACATACATACATACATACATTACATACATACATTACATACATACATACATTACATACATACATACATTACATACATACATACATTACATACATACATACATTACATACATACATACATTCATGCATTACATACATACATACATACATTACATACATACATTCATACATTACATACATACATACATTACATACATACATACATACATTACATACATACATACATTACATACATACATACATTACATACATACATACATTTGGATTTGCCCTGTTTTGTGGTGGCGTGTAAAGAGCCCAGTGCTGAAAAAAACTTACTTAAACTGATCTCAGATTCGACACTGTTGTGCTGTTTATTCGACAGATTCGCTGACTATGTCAGTGTGGCCGCCTACGATCTTCCTTCACCGAACCCAAAACAAGCCTGGTTTGGTAGCGCGCTATACTCCCAGCAAATCAGTGTGGTAAGTCAATTAGTCAGGACACGTTGTGTTATGTGAAATACTTCAAGACAAGTTATGTTAAACATTCTGCTAAAAGATTTATTGATTACTTCATCACATTTCTAGATGTTTTCAAGGCTTGGTAAATCTTTTACGTGTGATCTCAAAATATTTGGTACAAACTCGGTTGTTTGAATTCTATAAGAGAGCCATTCTTTGTTCTCTTTAGAAGAAATACCAAGTAGGTGGCTATAGTATTATTGCCACCTCGGTAAGATAAGGTTTAGATCGTTTTGTTTACTCTCGTTTTGTAATTTATAATATTCTCATGATCAAAACCATATTTTCGGTTTCTTACCTGTAAAATTTTGTGATATTTAAAAAAAACTTTATTACAAGTGTTCAATTTTTCTTCATATTCTTCCCATGACTTTGCTCTCGCAATAAAGATAAATGTCTTTCTACGATTTGTTGATTGTTTATACTTTCATTATGTTTTCTTTTCTCTTAATATTGTGTCGTTGCTCTTAGCCTATAATTTATATTTCTGCTTCTTTTCTCTTGAGTGTATTTCTTACTTTCTCATTCAAAGATGTTATCTTTCTTGAGTTACTCGCTTGATGTTCAGCGCTTTCCTCTTTCTGCCTCGAGCTGGCTCTGGACACAACGGAACGTCGTGGGGGATGGGCCTCGGTGAGCTGGTCCGGGTGTCTATCGGAAAAGAATGTCTCATCCCTTAAAGTCCATCGTGTCCGAATTGTCTGCCAGTGTCACTCTGCTACCTGCCAACAAAGTCCAACATGTGTCCGGTAAACCAAACGTAAGCTTGCCACTTGGTCGTCTGCTTTAATTATGCTACCGCAACGACTTCTTATCTCACAGTAACTTTTGCAAAGTCACCAATTCGTCTTGTCCCTGTCCGATAACATCCGGTAATTGGTGCAGCAGGAGAAACCAACCCTGAGCTTCATGAACTGAGGTGGGCCCACTCTTTGAAAATGTCTAGGAGCTGGTGGGCCGAAACATTTTTCGACGAGAGGTTACTTCTACTGATGATTGGTAGACTACTGCAGTACATGCTCCAATGTGAAGTTTCTTCCTATACATATATATGCTGTGTGCTATCCTGGTTTTAACAACAAGCAGCACACGGTCAAGTGTCTGAGAATACATTTCTCGCTTCCACACATACAACTCTCAGGAAAACAGCGACTTTATGTCCGCCATACATATGTTTATTGTCACGACACAGAGGGTAGTCACAATGCCTCACAAATAAAATACAAGCGAAGTGTTGTAGACACCTGTCCTGGCTGCTACACTAACCTGTCTCCTCGTTTCCCTTGCTTTCCACTTATAGCATCGCTCTTGCTGATGGCTTGCACTCGCTGCCACTATATACGAGCTGACCGCTACCGTTCATAGGTCTACAGCGTCCCGCCCTCTGGGGTCGCTGTATAGATTAACTAGAAATCTCTCCTATCAACTGGACCTTTGCTCTACACCGAGCAAACACATCGGCTGACTAGAAACGGACTTAACACCAGTTCTCCAGCATGTGCACACCGCACATCAGCCCGTCGTCGAAGGATTCCGATGACCTAGAGGACTCCTAGCTCGAGTCCACTCTAGCACACAGCTTTCGCCGGCATCCCCATTGTCTTGTTTCAGTAGTGATTCTACTCCTCTATGCGTCGTCACTCAAAACACCTACTCTTGAGTGTCCAGTCCTCGTGGCCTGACTGCGGCCTAGACTCTTTTCCTTTTACTGCCTCGCGACCGAGACAATTGGCTCAGACCTCACTGTACACACTAGTACTGCGGTGTTCAATCTGACTCTCAACACCAATATATAGCCTGTCACGCCCTTGTGGGTGGATCATGCCCACGAGAAGCACGCTAGCATTCTTCTTCCCTGCATCACGGCTATCTCGCACACATCATGTTAGTTAGCCCACTCGGCTTCTACCCCGCACCTCTCAAGTCCATCCCGTGTCAAGTGTATATACTTGTCAAAATATTGACTCAACCGGCGTGTGCGACTCACTATGTCTAAGTTGTTCCGTTGTTTACCATGTACACATGTGCGACTTACTATGTCCAAGTTGTTCCGTTGTTTACCATGTACACATGTGCGACTCACTATGTCCAAGTTGTTCCGTTGTTAACCATGCACACATATGCAACTCACTATGTCCAAGTTGTTCCGTTGTTTACCATGTACACATGTGCGACTCACTATGTCCAAGTTGTTCCGTTGTTTACCATGTACACATGTGCAACTCACTATGTCCAAGTTGTTCCGTTGTTTACCATGTACACATGTGCGACTCACTATTTCCAAGTTGTTCCGTTGTTTACCATGTACACATGTGCGACTCACTATGTCCAAGTTGTTCCGTTGTTTTACCATGTACACATGTGCGACTCACTATGTCCAAGTTGTTCCGATGTTTACCATGTACACATGTGCGACTCACTAAGTCCAAGTTGTTCCTTTGTTTACCATGTACACATGTGCGACTCACTATGTCCAAGTTCTTCCTTTGTTTACCATGTAAACATGTGCGACTTATTATGTCCAAGTTGTTCCATTGTTTACCATGTACACATGTGTGCGACTCACTATGTCCAAGTTGTTCTGTTGTTTACCATGTACATATGTGCGACTCACTATGACCAAGTTGTTCCTTTGTTTACCATGTACACATGTGCGACTCACTAAGTCCAAGTTGTTCCGTTGTTTACCATGTACACATGTGCGACTCACTATGTCCAAGTTGTTCCTTTGTTTACCATGTACACATGTGCGACTTATTATGTCCAAGTTGTTCCTTTGTTTACCATGTACACATGTGCGACTCACTATGTCCAAGTTGTTCCGTTGTTTACCATGTACACATGTGCGACTCACTATGTCCAAGTTGTTCCGATGTTTACCATGTACACATGTGCGACTCACTAAGTCCAAGTTGTTCCGTTGTTTACCATGTACACATGTGCGACTCACTATGTCCAAGTTGTTCCTTTGTTTACCATGTACACATGTGCGACTTATTATGTCCAAGTTGTTCCTTTGTTTACCATGTACACATGTGCGACTCACTATGTCCAAGTTGTTCCTTTGTTTACCATATACACATGTGCGACTCACTATGTCCACGTTGTTCCGTTGCTTACCATGTACACATGTGCGACTCACTATGTTCAAGTTGTTCCGTTGTTTACCATATACACATGTGCGACTTATTATGTCCAAGTTGTTACGTTGTTTACCATGTACACATGTGCGACTCACTATGTCCAAGTTGTTCCGTTGTTAACCATGCACACATGTGCAACTCACTATGTCCAAGTTGTTCCGTTGTTTACCATGTACACATGTGCGACTCACTATGTCCAAGTTGTTCCGTTGTTTACCATGTACACATGTGCAACTCACTATGTCCAAGTTGTTCCGTTGTTTACCATGTACACATGTGCGACTCACTATTTCCAAGTTGTTCCGTTGTTTACCATGTACACATGTGCGACTCACTATGTCCAAGTTGTTCCGTTGTTTACCATGTACACATGTGCGACTCACTATGTCCAAGTTGTTCCGATGTTTACCATGTACACATGTGCGACTCACTAAGTCCAAGTTGTTCCTTTGTTTACCATGTACACATGTGCGACTCACTATGTCCAAGTTGTTCCTTTGTTTACCATGTAAACATGTGCGACTTATTATGTCCAAGTTGTTCCATTGTTTACCATGTACACATGTGTGCGACTCACTATGTCCAAGTTGTTCTGTTGTTTACCATGTACATATGTGCGACTCACTATGACCAAGTTGTTCCTTTGTTTACCATGTACACATGTGCGACTCACTAAGTCCAAGTTGTTCCGTTGTTTACCATGTACACATGTGCGACTCACTATGTCCAAGTTGTTCCTTTGTTTACCATGTACACATGTGCGACTTATTATGTCCAAGTTGTTCCTTTGTTTACCATGTACACATGTGCGACTCACTATGTCCAAGTTGTTCCTTTGTTTACCATATACACATGTGCGACTCACTATGTCCACGTTGTTCCGTTGCTTACCATGTACACATGTGCGACTCACTATGTTCAAGTTGTTCCGTTGTTTACCATATACACATGTGCGACTTATTATGTCCAAGTTGTTACGTTGTTTACCATGTACACATGTGCGACTCACTATGTCCAAGTTGTTCCTTTGTTTACCATGTACACATGTGCGACTCACTATGTCCAAGTTGTTCCGTTGTTTACCATGTACACATGTGTGACTCACTATGTCCAAGTTGTTCCGTTGTTTACCATGTACACATGTGCGACTCACTATGTCCAAGTTGTTCCGTTTTGTTTACCATATACACATGTGCGACTTGCTGTGAATGAAAGATGGTTGCTTACTAACAGATCGTAATAATTACCAGCTCTAGTAAGAAATGCAATTTTTATTGTTCTAATTTGTAGTCTCCAAACGGTGCTAAATAGTTTATATATTTATGTTTATACCATATATAAAATGATATTTTTTTTTCAATTTTATTTAAAATATTTCTTTCCGGGAAGAATTTAGTGTCAGTAGTTATCTTTGCTGTTTCTTCTTCAATGACAAAACCTGCGTGATGTTTTGATGATTTATTCTAATCAACTCCTGAGTAAAAGCCTGCGTAATGATTCTCTGTGTGTCGATATTTTTTCTCTTTGGTTCTCGAGTCCACTATCTATACAAAGTTGTTTTTACAGTCCTTTTTATTTATTTGCAATGCCATGAAATCAATCGTAAAGAACGTAATGGCTTTTCTGTCTCTTAGTCCATCAGTGATCAGTGGGTTTTTTCCTCATTAGAACAATTTATCTTTTTTACGTTCCAGTTAGACACGTTGACGTCACATATGTGTTGCAACTCAGACAGTGAAGACACACATATAGTCGAGTGACACCAGTTGACCGTTTCTGCTCTTTGTTGTGGTTCCAACAATAATCGTCTAGTCGCTGTCTTCTATTCTTACTCGTCGTGCTAGGATCAAACGTCAATGGTTACATTACACGAACCGGGTATTTGAACTGGTATTAACTTGCATTTCAGTGGTTCCATTTACACGAAGGATGAGCAAAATACTTTTATTTTAAAGCACAGTGTCACAGTTCTTTTCGGCCATTCAGAATATTAATAAAGATAACATCTCGTAATTGCAGAAAAAAAGATATCTCTGGTAATTGGATATAGAAACAAAAATGTCAAATTTTGACCTCGTTCAGCTGCCTGCTGGCTTGCTATATTGAGGTCTGTTTCTTTGTGGTTTGATTCTTGATTCTTGGTTCCTTGTGGTGAATATTTTCACCTAACTTTGGTTCCTTGCTGTGTTGTCTTGTGGGCTTTCTCGCGTTAGTGGGCTGGTTTGGTGGCTGGTAACTGTGTGTCATGGCAGCTTGGTTGGTCCGGATTGGCTGATGGTTTTGGTCAGTGTCATGGCGGCTGTTGTCAGTTCTGGCTGGCTATTGGCTTTTTGGTTTTGCGGCCTGGCTGTTATCCGTTCATAGGATGGGACAGTGCATGGAATTACTTTGTCGGTGTTGGCTGAATTCACTTCGTGCATCGATGAGTATACTAAGGGCTGTACTTGCGTTATACATCATCCTTTTGTTTTTGTCTCGTTTGGATCTGAGAGTTGCGGCTGGGAGGGATCGCTCCCTTGCAAATTCTTTCTGGCAGAACTGTATTCTGTATTTGTCATTGCACATCTCGAGTCGATGAGGGTGCATCTGCTGGTTAAAGTCTGCGACCATTTCTTGTAGGCTGAGTTCTCTGTCCGCTATCTCCTTCCATGCTGCCGCGTTTACGGTATCGCTTTCCTCATCGGATTCTGCTCCCTGTTCTTCAACTCCTTGAGAATCTTTCTCTTCTGCTATGACTGGGATCTCTTCAGAGTCTTCTTCATTGGTTTCATCATGTTCTGGTTCGGTCATTTGCGCCTGATGCTTCGTTGTTAGGGTGTCAGTGGAGACACCTTTGTCAGCCTTGTTGGTATTCGGCTTTTTTGCGGCATTTCTTTCTTTCTCCAGCAGGGCTCTTTCTGTCTTAGCTGCTTGTGCTGCTGTTATGGCTTCTGCGGTGGCTTTCTCTAGCTGGGCGGCTTTGTGGCATGCGGCTTCCCGTTCGTTTGTAATCTCGGCCAGCTCCTTCCTTCTCTCCTCTCTCTCTCTGACTGGCGGCGTATTTCTTCTTCTGCTTGGGTTGCTCTGAGGCTGGTAAGTAGCTCTCTGGTCTTTTGAAGGTTTTCTGCGTCTTCTGACTGTCTGTTTGTTTGCTGGGTAGCGTATGCCAGCCTTTCTGCCTTTAGGTCCTTGATCTCCCCTAGCAGTAGGGAGATCAGTTCCAGGGTCTCCGTTCTTTCAGCGGCGGTGGTGGTTCTTTCTTTCTGGAGCGCTGTGATTTGGCTTCTCAGTTGGTCGACTATTTGCGGTATATCGTTTCGAATGGTGGCGGAGCGTGCCTTATCGTTTTGTTTGTCTCTTGGTATGTTTCTCGGTGGTCTTGCCTCTGGCTGTCTGGTCGCCTGGTATGTGTCTCTGGCTGAGGCGGCTGTCATTTCTCTCTTGCACTTCTTGAGGTATGGGCACCCCAGGTACCTCGCACTGTGTGAAGCTGAGCAGTTGCTGCACTTCCGCTTTTTGTTAGGCTTTTTGAAGTCGTTATCGAGTTTCGCTAGCGGGCACTCCTCGAAGTCGTGGGCACCCGAGTAGTACCGACAAATAGGGCCACTGCGACAGGTCGCGGCGGTGTACCACGCCCTGTTGCAGCGTGAGCACTGAATGATGTCTGTGGTGTGGGCTCCAGGCTTCTGCTTAGGTAAGCGGGTGTTTGTAGGTCCCTGCGCCACGACTGGGGCGGCTTTAGGTGGTGGCTCCACGATAGCGGAGGCTTCAGGTGTCGGCGCTTCGATAGGGGCGGCTTCTGGTGCTGGCGCCACGATGGGGGCGGCTTCAGTTGTTGGCGTAGGTGTGCGAGGCGCCGCGATAGGGGCGCCTGCTGGTGATGCTGCCGGCATGGCCATCCTCTTTCTTGGTGTAGGTGCGGCTGCTTGTTGTTTTTCCATGATAGAAAAATCAATGATGGTAATTGCGGTCTGTAGCGAAAGCTAGGTCCCTTCGGAGTCGGCAAGGCTTGTTAGAGTATCCTGAAAAGGACACCCAAACGTGCTTTCTCCTTAGTTCTCTAGACAATCGTTCAAACAAAAAAACTGGCTGGTATGACTGGCTCTTCAACAATGATGTGCTCCCGGGCCGCTAATAACTCACCCGCAGACGAAAACCGATAGCGTAGTCGAGCCAAACTCAGCCGAATATCAAGCGAGTCTGACCAGTATCTAGCTATCGATAATCAGGCTACGAATGGATAGTTAGCAAGCTAACGAGAGACACACGTGGCTTTATCGGGCGGTAGAGCGAGCGAGCGAGCGAGAGCTGAGTGCGGGTGCCGATGATTCAAAAGATATCTCTTCACGCAGTCGTCATTTATACCTCATAGCAGTCATACATCCCACAGAACTAGACCAATCACTGTGGTTGTCAAACGGTAACTCGATCTCCTCTCTCACCTTCCAACCTTTCTGCCTTTTCCACGGATGGTCACATTTCAACTGCTCAGTTAAAAACGGAATTTGCGATCGTTGGGTTCTACTCACTTGAATTACCCTTTACCCTATGACGTCATATGGGGGAACACCCTGGGAAATCATATCATTAGAGAACAGCTAGCCAACCCCGACACTGATGGCTTGCAGTATCTGTCTCATGGACACACCCACATTAGGCATATATCTTATTCACATGCATTGCTAGCTGGAGCTGACAGATAAACTTGTGTCTGTTAGCACTCGGCGATCAATAGCTGGATACGTGCAGGTCTGCGTGCATCAAAGACGGTGCTGGGCATATCTCCAGTGGGACGCTTCTTGAGGCTGCAAAGTGAGTCAGAATTCAAACCTGGATCTCCCATCCGAAATGAGGTACTGAAGGGGGATCATTTCAAGATACCTAACGGCTTGGCCTATCCTGAGGTGAGAAAACCATGAAATATTTAGTGTTTCACATACACCGTCACATCCCAGGACTTTAGCTGGTATACATTTTAAATAGGGACTTCCAAGGAACCATCGTCATTTTTGAAATAAAGTTATTACCCGATGTGGATTCTAACCCAAGAACATCATGTGCGTGTGTATGTATATATGTATGTAAGTTTTATATATATACGTCAAGAGGGATATATTTTGTTTGGTGGGATATATAACTGGATGAATGACAAAAGTGTTTAAATTCCAAACTGTTTTTTTGCCACAGTGAAACTGGTCGCCGCCACCTCAACGAAGGATTGTCACCGCGGTCCAAGCTCCCCTAAAATCGTGCGAGCATCATCTTCACTGCCCTTTATGATAGTTGTGTCATCCATAAATGCACGTAGTGGCGGCATCCAGTGATCACCAATTTAAAGGCCTTTTCGGTAGCCGGCAGCCCCTTCTAACATGACTTGTACAAACAATATTGGCGAAATCGTTCATCTCATTGTTATCCCAACATGGAGCTATGTCCATCTCGTAGAGAACGTCTGTGTACAGAAGCGTAAGGCGAACTTTAAGAAATATTGCTCGATCATTTCGTTGATCTGTGTCGGTACGTGGAACATGTGAATGACCTGCCACTATAGCTTATGTGGTACCGCGCCAGAGGTTTTGGGGATGTCCAACCAAATCACGTGCACCTGGGTTATGTTTGCCTTAACTCTCTATATCCTTTCCCAGATCATAGTCGCGTGCTCAAGGCACCCGGGGACGGCCGGGATTCACCCTTTAAATCCGTTGTGTCAGTGTTTTTTTTCGCCATAAAATACAGTGTCCGCCTTCGAGCCATAAAAGAGAATTATATCTTGCCCTCAACTTCCAACAGCGAGATGTAACAAAGCAACTCTAACTAGCTGTCAATATGCCAGCGTATCTTTCGTCTGCTGACCAGGCGGACCGTAGATGAATAGTGCTTGTTTGGACGATATGCTTTTCTTCTCTAATGGCGTGCTTGTCTTGGCCATAAAAAAATCTCATTAAATACTTCTTGTGGGACTGTGTTTAAACAGAAAGATGCAGCATGACATCTTACTACGACAGACCCTATCAATGACACTTAATGGCTGTATGTATGTATGTATGTATGTATGTATGTATGTATGTATGTATGTATGTATGTATGTATGTATGTATGTATGTATGTATGTATGTATGTATGTATGTATGTATGTATGTATGTATGTATGTATGTATGTATGTATGTATGTATCTTTGTATGTATGTATGTATGTATGTATGTATGTATGTATGTATGTATGTATGGTATGTATGTATGTATGTATGTATGTATGTATGTATGTATGTATGTATGTATGTATGTATGTATGTATATATATATATATATATATATATATATATATATAGATACATACATACATACATACATACATATATATATAATTGTGCCTGTGCGTAACAGTGATATGCATGTCAGACTGTGTATATATGCAACATGCATATGTGCATGCGTGTGTGTATATATGCGCGCGCGCGTGTGTGTATGCACACTACAGACTAGTCTCCACAAATATGGTTGGCTATACTTTACCCCGGCTATTGTTTTAAATGTTTGGAACATTAAGTGACGGGGCCCTATCTCTTCTACGGTATTATTCTCATATCTGCATAACTGTCATTAGTGCCTATATTTACGTTTTTTCGCTGAGTAAGCAGGGTGGGTCTTTGAGCCTGGGGATTAGTGGGTCGCATGGCTAGTGCTGTCGCCACGGATTTGTTTTTCCTCTGACGGAGAAATACCTGAATCCTATCCTTGGATTCGAACCTGATTCTTCTTCGTAAGAGCCCAGGAGTCTTACGAGAGTCTAGCTTCACAAAATGCCGTCTGCGGATATAAAACCCCGAGACTCGAGGGCATAGTAAGTGGTAGACGTTTTCACTGATCTCTGAATCACAACCCTACCAATGATCCCCAATGGCAGTTGTTGTTTCTACTCTGTTATTTAAAGATCTGTGAGTTGTTCAAAAATGGAACCAAGTACCACGACAAGGCTACAGAGATGGACTACCTGGTGTCTGGGACAAACTGGGTTGGGTACGAGGATACAGAGAGTATTGAGGCAAAGGTGAGTTGACGATAGGTTGCAAGTATTTTGTTTCAGGGCTGTTGTATACATATGTATGTTGAAGCACTAGTAACAGTAGTAGTACTAGTTGTTGTGCTAGTCGCAGCAATAGTAGCAGTTGTTGCAGTCGCAGTCGTTGTATTTATTGAAGTAGTAGTAGTAGTAGTAGTAGTAGTAGTAGTAGTAGTAGTAGTAGTAGTAGTAGTAGTAGTAGTAGTAGTAGTAGTAGTAGTAGTAGTCGTAGTAGTAGAAGTACAAGCATTAGTAGGAGTAGCAGTAGCAGTAGCAACAGTTGGAGTAGTAGTAGTAGTAACAGCAACAGCAGTAGCAGTAGTAGTAGAAGCTGGAACAGCAGCAAAAGTAGCAGTAGCAGCAGCAATAGTAGCAGGAGCAACAACAGCAGCGTTAGTAGTAACAGCAGAAGTACTTGTAATAGAGCAACAGCAACAGTAGTAGTAGAAGCAGCAGTTGTAATAGCAAAAGCAGTTTAACAAAAAGTAACGGTTACTTTAAAAGCCTGTTAGGCGTTTCGGGTGTATGTACAAGAGCGCCCATATTTTTACAGACTATCGCACTAGACGAATAATGTGGTCAGCATTACGCCGGCCGTCTCTACTTTTCCAGGACAGCCTTTATGGTTCCCATTTTAGGCTAGGTCGACCTGCGACGCCACACACTATAATAAGAATCCACGCAGCCTGCAGTACAGCTAAGGGCCAAAGGCAATCAAGAGGAAAGTCTTTGGATAGTCTAGTCTAAGAACACAATAATAACATAACATAAGCACATTTAAACAATTAGGTCGAATAAATTAATTAGGTGAATTAATCGAAACAGTAGCACACAAAAAACAGCCAACTTTGTCTTCCTTTTGATGAATTACGTGTATGATAACTTAGTCATGCAAATTTCTTGATACTGTCATTCCAGGCTCTTCTTTGCCTTCCTCTTATTCGACTATCCCCCTGTCGTATGACAGTTGTAGTCAGTGGTCTATTTATAGTTTTTCTCCTAATGAACCAAAAAGACACGCTGAAGTAGTTATTACGTTGAGATGTTGGCTCGTACTGGTCTAGGTGGAATCCAGCGGTCCTAGTAAACATCCAACCTTCTTCAGCGGTGAGAGGGCTTTACATTTTGGCACTACAAAATTTATAAAGATTCCTAAGTGCAGCTTGGTCTGACACCCAAATTACTTAACAGCCCCCTGAATGGATAGCAAACATATCATAGTCACACAGCAATACATTAATGAATCTGTCAGACAATCTTACAATCACAAACACTTTAATATGCAAAAACTGGAAGAGATATGAATCTGAATCCAGAATAATAAAACAATATTGTAATTAGTATTACAAAAATAGGACTCTAAAAATGGGAGCCAAGAATTAGACAAACAAGTGTCACTGATGAATCAAGAACAGACCAGTCTCTAATGGACTCCTAGGAATGCACCCTGACACCACAAAGATCATTATTGTAGGAAATGCGGGGATGTGGGTGAAATATTACTAAGTGTCCAGGTGGGATGCCATCCAGTAAACCACAGGTTACTTATCCTAGATGGATGAGATCCTCTCTACTAGTAAGTGACGCTTGGAACGAAACAGCTCCAGACTTCCAGAAAATGTTCTTTTCATCCATACACTGTCTCAACTTGAACAGTACTATGAGTATTTTTGTGTCCAAGCACCTAAAAGCCAATGATAAACAGTCTGGGGAAACCTCTCTTAAGGGTTATTTATAACCAAAGTCAAACTGTGTAGATACACTGATGCACGAGCTGGGTTGGCTGAAGAGTGGAACAAAAGCTGTAGCTCTGCTCTTACTAATGAAAGCTAAAGCTGAGCATCCCTCAGTCAACTGTGACACCACTTGTCACCTCCAGTGTTGCTCCCCTAGAAAGACATCAAAGTGAACATTACATAGATGCACTAGACAGAGGTAGGTACTTGTGTAACAGATAATGTGCACTGTAGAAACAAGTGTGCATCATCAAAGTGGACATTGACTAGGCCCTCAGAGAGGTCATCAAGCATCGTGGAAACTGTACCCTATTACTCACACTACACCTGGCAATTATTTTTTGATTAGATGTAAGTGTTGGGCCAGTACAGACCTTTCGATTAAACGTATCCCCAGGATCGTCCCTAGTGACGATGATAATAGTGATTTAACCTGCCCAATACTTCTGCACTACCAACAGTTCTAGGCTGCCCATCCAACAGTTCTAGGCTGCCCATCCAACAGTTCTAGGCTGCCCATCCAACAGTTCTAGGCTGCCCATCCAACAGTTCTAGGCTGCCCATCCAACTGTTCTAGGCTGCCCATCCAACAGTTCTAGGCTGCCCATCCAACAGTTCTAGGCTGCCCATCCAACAGTTCTAGGCTGCCCATCCAACAGTTCTAGGCTGCCCATCCAACAGTTCTAGGCTGCCCATCCAACAAAAAGAATGCCACCAAACAATCTGTTTGTATCACAAGTCACCTATACTCACATAAACATGTCAATAATACATGAAAACACAAGTGGAACGAGCATTAAAGTCGCAGAAACACGACTCAAACTTTTATTCAACTGCCCCGTTCTTTCAATGTAGACATCGCTGGGCGGTCATGACGTCATCCGCGTCAACACCACAGGCTCTGCATCCTTGTTCTTGACTGAGATTAACCTGGCTGGACAACTGTTTTTGCCAAAAAAATTACATACATACAAAGTACATCTATCCAATCTATCTGGACCATCTACAGAGAGAATATACGAATATATTTTCCATAAGACTGTAGGTGACGCTGTGGGTTCACTCCTCTCCTGTAGTTATAGTGGTTTGAAGGCTAAGTGCAGAAAGCTTCACACGATTGCCTTTGTCATATATTGAGCAGTATGGTAGGGTACTCACATATATAATAATCTACAATGCACTCACCCATGCTTTAAAGGTAGTTCCCGGGTGAAACAGGAGCCGTTTAAATGAAATGATAATAACCGTAGGAGACTAGGACGAAACGTGTCCTTACGCTCTGAAAGCCAAGTCAAGAGTGACGATATCAAAAGAAGTTCGCCAGAATCAGAGGCGGGGGTATCCCTAGGCCTAAAAGTGGCAGTGATGCGGCCATGGAGTTTGGCTTCAAAGACTTAGAAAACTTATAATAGAATTTGTGTTGTAACTTCTTCCTAATACATTTAGGAACGACATAAGTGTAAATCCTGACATCTAGATACATAGGTATATAAGAAGGACTATTTACTCAAGGAGGAAAGTACAAGATTTGAAAATAATTCATTTACTTAGAGGTGACTAGATATGGGCAGGCCCACGACTAGAGGGGTGTGGGCTGTTATGCGACAGTAGCTCCCCCCATAGAAGAGCATACCACACGAATGAACAGCAGCCATACACCCCTATGCGTCTGTTGACTCAAGAACATCGGTTTGATCACTATCCTTAGACTATGATTCACAAGACAAGGGATGATTGCTTAAAAAATCTGAGTCTGCATTCTGATTTCCGGGAATATCTTCCACAGTAAAAGATAAACGTTGCAGAAGTAAAGACCATATAATAGGCCTCAGATTTCAGTGGGTGAAGGAAGCAAAATACACGAGGGGTTCATGATCTAACTGTACACTAAACTCTACTCCATGAAAGTATTTTTTTAAATCTCATATAGGCTGGTCCATGACTGGAAGGATGTTGGCTGTCATGCCACCCCTCTCCCCCCACACCCTCTAATGTTCCCTGAAATACAGTCTTTGCAATCGAATTACGTCTTCAACGAGAACAATTTGAGGCTCGGTGTGATGCTTTCGGCAGGTTTTTAGCCTTTCTGCATAGAGTTGAGTTAACAGATATCACAACATGAGGAGTTCGTCCTCATCTTTAGCAGCCAGAGGAGAGTTTAAATCCGCATGAAGTCAGTTGTCATTTGAGTATATGCATGTCTGACCTTTTCTTTGAGTGTTAAAAGTCAACTAGACACCTTGGTCATTCATTGCTACACCCTTCACATAATACAATCATGATCTAATCCTGCCTCGGCATTGTTTACTTTCCCTTAAAAAGGACTCTGAGCTGATCTAGCTGGTCAAGCACTACTAGTGTCGAAATAGCCAGTATATCTGCATGTTCGGTTCCTAAAACACCTGTATACACTAAAAGACAATACCCAAAGAACGCTAACTTGATGGATTTATGAAGCGATGCTTGCCACTCTTTGGCGTAGCATACCTGTCTTCACTAGTTCATAGAACCTGATGATGTGACCTAATATCAAAATTGTCATATTTACGTTTCAGGTTTACTGGACAGATGTAATGGGTATGGCAGGGATTATGTTTTCAGCCATTGACATGGACGATTTCACGGGAGAGGTAGGTTTCTACCGCAGTAGTCTGATGTAATGGGTGACTGTTTGTAGGATGGTATCTTGTTCCATAGAATGAACATACATTTTTTTTTTTTTTTAAACAAATGGCTGTGTCCCTAAGCAGTGACCATGTTCATACATCACCCCCCCCCCCCCCCCCCACCACCAACTTTTTTTCAGAATTAACGTCACTGCACGTGGGGAATAACCATTCATGATCAGATCTTCTGCTAAGCATGTTTCTTCCGGTGTATACTCTGACTACCTTTTTCTGTTTTGTGAAATTAATGGGCAGTGAGCTCTCGAATTTAGAAATAACTGCACGTAAGAACATCCTAGCACACTCGGGGTACCCTAGGTCCTGCGTTACCAGTCTGTCCTACAATGCTTTCCCATCCTTGCCTACAAAACCATAAATTGGTTGCCACTACTTACACTTGGAGTATGATGATCGCTGCTAGGAGTGTACAACCTGCCATCTAGAAGGCGACCCTCGATCACACTGGCCAGGAGTGAGTCAGCTTTCACACCTAAATAACAAAAGCTTTGATACCAGACGGGCACAGTTTTCGTGTTTTTTTTTTTTTATAAAACGTATTTTTTTTTTCTGCTCGAGGAAGACCAGC